AAGATGATGCTTTTGTTTTTAGATGAAGGCCCTCTAGAGAACTGAGAAGAGTCTCAATCCTTACCTAGCTTCAGCTTCCATGAGAGCATATGCAAGTCCATTCTAAAAGGATTAACAGGCAATGTAATGATTGAATTCTGGGAAGCATTGGGAAGGTTAAGGGTGGGTTCTAACTATCAAGTGGAAATACTGTTAGAGAGAATGGACTCTGAATTCTTCTGCTTCACCCTCGCCTAACTTTGCTCTCAAGAAGTGGGTTAAGGCAGAGCACCTCTCTGGGTGATACAGTGTTGTTACATATATAAGAAACTGGTTCAGATTTGCCTGGCCATTCTATCCTTGGGCTAAAAAATAACTCTCCAGGGATTATGAGAATCTAACATCTGTCTCTTGAATCACAGTGCTCTGATATGTATTGTTTGGTAGCCCAATACATCTCCATTCTAGGATCTTCTAACCCCATCCCCTTGGAGGTTTCCTTTGTCACTTTGTTAGTTTTCTGCAGCACTTTGTCATTGATTCTCATTTGTTATTTCCCATGCATTCCTCATTCTTATTCCAAACTCAACTTTTGTTGGGGAAAATACTGCAGTAGCTTATTGAGAACAGATGTGTCCTCTAGTCAGTCCTTGAACTTGTTAGTTTGGATTATATGTCAGAGTCTTAGGCTTCTGAAAGCAGGGTTCCATTGCCTCCCTGGCAATTCAGTTGCCTTTGAGAGCCCCTGATCCTTTGCGTGCCATCCTCAGTGTTCTTAAATTTCAAAATAAAACATCTTGTTGTTGCCCTGGGCACTCGTTGGGCCATTTCAATTTGGAAACTAATATTCTTCAATCCTAAGACATGATTTTTATTCTTTCATTTTTGCTTGTTTCTGATAATTGCTCTTCTGTATTTCCTCTGTGTTTTAGAATACCTATTATTTAAATGTTGGATCACCTGGACCAGTTTTTACATTTTTCCTGTTTTATGCCTCTTTTAATTTTTCCTCTGCTTGTGGGAAGGTTGCCTGAACTTCATCCTCTAACCTTTCTATTAAAGTCTATTCTATCAGTTTTTTTCCAAGGATTTTTTGGCCTCTGGTGCTCCTCCCTCCTCCTTCTACTTTACATTTTTCATATTTTAAAAATATAGTAATATGTGTATTTAATGGAATAACATTTTCTCTGGCTGCTGGCTCTTGGAGAGCCTAGTGATAGAAGAAAGCTGGGGATCTGTACATTTTGGAGGAGGTCAGTTAATCCCCATTTTCTATAAAGCAACTGCACCTGCAAGACTGGGTCATGGTATCCAGTGACCCAACATCCAGTGGTCCTCATTCTGGTTGCCCCTTTATCTTCAGTACCTAAGGCACCTATGCTGCCACTTTGCGAGTCTTTGGTGGGTTTTATGGTATAAATTGTATTGGTTCTCAACTATTCCCTTCCATGGTTCAAAATTTAACTCCATCTGGCGGAACTCTAGGTCAAGTTTTATCGACATCATGTGTTACTAGTTTCTTCTCTTTTTTATCCATTTATCTCTTTTAAAATCCATTGACTATAATTTAGGAGCATTTCCGATGAAAGAGAAGTACGTGTTAAATCTGTCATCTTAATCATGAAACCAGCTTGTTCTTTATTGCTTGCTAGGACTTATAAATCTCATTTGATCTCGGTGATAAGAGTTTTATTATGTAGGTTGAGTATTAGCTGATGCTTATTGGAGTCAAGTAGAAACCTCTAAAGCCAAAATAAGATGAATCATCAAGAATCACTCATATGTGGACTCTAATGAACAAACTGAACAAGCAAAATGGAGATAGAGAGAGCAGTCTGACATCTCTGGGGCATGGCGCTGGGGGTGGAGGGATCAAGCAAAATAGAATATGGACTCATCATGGACATGGACAATAATGCAGTGATTGCTGGGGGACAAGGGGGATGGGTGGAGGTGGAAGAAGGGGGATAAATGCTAATGGAAAAAATACAATAAAAAAAGATCAGGGATAGTAAAGCTGATGCTCCAATAAGCACTCTCACTTCCTCTGGTTCAGATGAAGGAAACTTCTGTGAAGTTCGGCAGTTGGTTGTCAATCATGTAAGAGGAAGATGGCAATTTTCCAGAAGTTTCTGTTTTCTCCTAACCATGTAAAGCCCCAAATGGAAGTGTCAGATTATGGTATTTTTATTCTACAGTTGTTTTTCCCATGGCAGAAAAGTAGAAGTTACTTTTAAGAATACAGAAATATAACTTATGGAAGTATTCCCAGCCAAACCTTATAATATAGATGAACTGATTCATCCTTTTCTAGCTGAAGATGCTCAAAGAGAGTCAAGGGAGTGAAGGAGAAGTAACTTCAATGTTTTAGTTATTCATTTCTAAATGCAGTGTTGCATTTAATACTTACAAAATCTTAGAAAAGGCCTATTCTGAATACCATAGTCTTCAACTGAAGGATCAGAAGAACCAAGTAACTTGCAAGACTAAATACCTGTTGTGGGTAATTCAAAAAACCAAATCAGTGCTGGAATTTGAATCCAAGAGAGAATGGCTGTCAACCCTTTGTACCACACACTGGACAAATTGAACAGTTGTCTGTAACCATGCTATGACGTTGTGGTAGAAAATGCATTTTTCTTTTTTCTTTTTCATTCCAATTAATAGCTAATAAAAGCACTGCTTCTCTTAATAGGCTCCTTGAGGAACAGGCAAAGTTGCTGATTTTATTCTCATACTAGAAACAAATGGCACACCTTTGAAAACTTTCTCCCAGCTATTCCTTCTTGATTCCAGGTCTAAAAACTCCGTTCTGTAATCATAGTTTAAAGTATCTGCTACCTATTATACTGAATTTATGACCAGGCTACCTCCAAGCATTGATAATAGGAGGAAATCAGAGCTGTTGACAGGATTCCAGTAATTCTATGAAATGTCTCTTAATTTAAGTCAATAGTTAAATATTAATTGTATTTTATTATTTTTATTTTCACATTGCAAATTAAGAGGACATATTACTAAGCAACATTCTAACATGGGCTCTCATGTTAATTATCTCTCTGTCCTGTTTCCACAACTCTTGGCTTATGTACCAGGTCAAAATTCTAGCCTTTCCTCTTCACTCCTCAAATACTAGAAATTCTTATTTTTCTCTCAGTTCAGTGGAAGATCACCTTATTTGGGTCTCTTTAGTAGTCTAGCTGAAGATGATTACTTTAATTGGTACTGTAAGGGGTCTCCTTATGGAATTTCCTTTCTATTTCTTTCAAAGATGCATGGTAATTACTGTCCTGAAGACTTTTTTCAGTATTTCTGAAAAAAATTATTGCTCAAACATGTGATGTTTGTAGGGTCCCGTGCCTTTTTGCTTACTGGCTCTCTTGCTTGGCATCGGGAAAACGGGCAAAGGCAAGCTCCAACCCAAACCCTTGCTTTTTGCCTGCCCTGCAAAGTTTTCTCAGCCTTTGAAGATACACTTTGTCTCTCACACCAGCACAGGTCCTAAGCCTTTGTTCCTCCCTTTTTTAAAAAAAGCTTGTATTGAATATCTACCATTTCTCCACCAGACATTAAGGCTATGAAGACAAACAAGTCTTATTCCTCGTGAATGTAAGCTCATCCTCATCCTCAGGCTCACATAGTTGTGAAGATGATAGATGCTTTTGAACTTCATGTGTTAAAACTTTGGGGACTTAACAGAATGAGGAGGAGGTATTGATCTCTTTAGTAGAAACCAATCTAGGAGGTAATATTGAGAAACAAACTATTTCCTTTTCTCTAGATCGCTCTTGTTCCTCTAACTGAAAGAGCTGATGTGGTTTTATATCTTCGAAAAGCCTAAAATCTGACTTTTGGGAAGAATCAGTCCCTGTCTCCTATAGCTTTCAAATGACTAAGCTCATACATTTACTGTAGCCTCCATTATGTTATGACTATTTTGCTGTTCATATGTATGCCTTCTCTACTGCTTGGTGAGTTCCCTGAGATATTTCCATGCGCCCTAACTGTATTTTATTCTCTGCATTATTAACTTTAGAGCATTTTCAGACTCTTTTACTAATGATTAGGTTTTAAAAATAAATTCAGTGAGTGAAAGGTTTTAAAAACCTTTAGTGAATACCATTGTCATACCACCTGCTGGCTGGTCTTTAGCTGGTTAATCCAAGATTTTGAGATTATTTTCATTAAATCATGGATTTAATAGTGTAATTGTAGTTTTAAAATCAGAAATATACACATACATATTTTGAAGTTTGGGGAAGAAGAAACTTTTGTAGTATATCAGGAATCTTATGGTTATTTCTGAACTAAAAGATTCAGTCCAATAAGACCATTGTGTGGCATTTGTCATCACCTAAATACAGTGTTTAAGGCCCTTAATGGCTTTGTCTTATTGTTTCCTGCAGCCTTGCTGCAACCACACACACACCGACCATCTTTCCAGTCAGTTGGATTTTTGAAGCTGTGAACCTTCTAGAAGCCTTTTCCTTCCTCCACACCACACCCTCTAGCTCTTTTTTTCTTTCTTTCAAAGTTTTACACTTATCTAGTTCTTATCTAGTTCTGTTGGCCACGAGGTAGCAATGGTCCCTTGAGCAGTTGAGTCTCTCAGATGGGCAGCTGTTGCAAACTGGCAGAATTAAACCCCATACTGAAAGCAAAGGCGTTAAGTGTCCAGGACCAGTATTTTTTCATTCCTCTCTGGTGCGTTGGCTCTTGCAAATACAGGCATAAATGATCAATGCTGTGAGCAGCCTGCTGATCCTGCCACTCCAGAGCCAGAGAGAGAAGGAAATGAAGGCTGGCCAGGTGGCAAGGGGCAGCGTGGAGCACAAGGAAAGAGTGACAACTTCAGAAACACAGAGATCGAGATCAGAAGGGAGGTGCCGGGGGAATTTTGGATTGAACTATCCAAAAGAAAAATATTTTTTGAGATTTCTTTAACCCTCAGAAACACATTTATGCCAATCTAGAAAAATCAAATATTTTATTTTAGACTTTTCTCTCCCCCCCACCCTTAGCTATCCCCCTGGGTATTCTCGTTGTGCGTGGAGACTGTGATTTGGAGACTTGCCGTATGTACATAGATCGCCTACAGGAGGTGAGTGTCTATAGCCAATTACATCTTTTGCTCATTTTTCCATTTTTATAATCAATTGCCAGCCATCTTTATTTGATTTGAAAATGATGCATTTCAGGAGGAAATGAAATGCAGCAGCCCTGTCTTTCAGTCACACAGCACATCACTCTTTGCCACCCACCGTTGGTTTCCCTACTTAGGTGTTGGCCAGGAGTAAAGATCCTTTGGGTTAAGTACAGCGTGGTGTCAGTTCTAGTGTGAACCATAACTGCAGCTTGGAGCTTCTTGTCTTCTTGCCAGCCTACATGCCTGTAGCTTTTCAGCTTTCCAGATTTTCAGAAGGCACTCATAAATAACAAAAGAAAACAGGTGTGGTGTTATTTAATGTTCTGTATCTGGTGCGTATTTCTGTCAGCTAGATTCTTTTTAAAAAAAACGTAGATTGCACAGGAAAGAAAAACTTTCTATATTTCATGGGAACTTGTGTCAGAGCACAAAGGAATACTCTGGTTTTCTGTCAATCTGATTTTACCATAAAGAAAAGAGAGGGGAAGGAATCTCGTACATGATCTGCCCATGAATTTGAACTTCACCAGCCAAGCCAGGAGACCCAACCCCCTCATTGCAGGGATCATCAGTTGCTTTTATAAAGTTTTTTTTTTTTGGGGGGGGCTGGTCCCTCTATTTATTTTACAAATGGCAAAAGCATAAATAGCCAGTCCTTTATTGTTGTTTACTTGGTGAAAAATGTACATTAGAGTCACTTTTCTTTGGATCTGGTCTAGGCATTTGTGTTTTTGAAGCTATTGGGTGATTTTGACAAAATGAGCGACACTTTTCTAGGTGACACGTCATACATACATCAGTAAATGTCACAAATAAAGCAGATATGTAGTGTTTAAAATCCTCTCCAGTTGTAGTTTAGCTTTGAACATTGTATTTTGATTTCTCTTCAAATATATTCAGGTAGGAGGCATAAAGTGAAAATTACTGACTTTTCAGCATTGTTAACTGTAGATAAATTATGAATGCAAAATATTTTGGGATAAATGCTAAATTTTGAATATTGGTATGGGTGAGAGAAGAAAAGTCAACAAATTTTATCCTAGTGGTTTCATTTGGCTATTTTTCCCAAGGATAACTATATCATGCTAAAATTTGTGAACTTTTTAGCATGTGACCCAGGTCTAAATCAACATTTCTAGGGCACTATTTCTACGGCACTTTTAAAAATAATATTTGTATTTTATTGTGGACTCTCACTCAATCTCCCATGGAAAATTCATCATAATTGCTACCAATATTTTTTTCTGTTAACATTCAGGTAACTTAAGATATCATAGTAGCAAAACATATAAGTGATAAAAAAACAACTTACTGACATGCTTATCACACCAATATGCAACTAGAAGTGGGAGCCTTAAAAAAAAAAAGGAAATAGCGAACTCAGTAAGGTGAAATTTTAAAGCTAACTTGGGCTCAGAGAGGAAGTTGAGAAATACTCATGGGAAACAGGTATGAGGAAAAAGCTGCCCAGGATTGCTGACATTTGTCAACAGGAGCTCTGCACTCATTAACGAGGAAGCCTGCGGGACATGACAATGCTGACTACTTAGTTATAAAAGTTTATGAAAGGGGCCCAGCTCTCAGAATCAGCCAGTGAACCCTCATTAATGTCAACCCTGGTAATTTGCCCATCATGATAAGGCAGAGGGGGCCGGGTTATTTTCTCTTTGTAGTCTGTGAAAACCCACATTTGCCAAGCGACTTATCAGTATAAACACAATTACCAGGACAGTGTGCATTTGCTCTGAGATAAATAAATTCTTTCTGAGTGCATACAGGGACATTGGAAGCTTTCCTCACAAGCCAAAAGATCAGGTACAAATTAAACATGACCCCCACTTATTAGAACAAAATTGCCCATCTTTTACTTTTGTCTTCTTTGTCCTTGAAATTATAATATATTGTTCACCTCTAAACACTATTTAAAATTTATAAGTTTCAATAGCTAAATGGCCTTTCTTCTTTCATTTCAATTTGGTGAGCTGTTGTGATTTTTGGCATTATCTTCTTTGTTTAACCTTGATGAATTTGGGTGAGTTAGATACTTTCCAGATGACTTTAATAATAAATTGAGAGTTCAGGGGATAGAGTTTGTTCAAGCTAATCTTAAGGTATGGATGTAGCAATATATATAACTTTTTTCCATTTTCTCATTAGGACCTGCAGTCAGTTTCTTCTGGCTTCCACAGAGTTCATTACCAGGTAACACATAATTGACTCTCCCTGTTTCTTACCTTCCAGCCAAAAAAATCTTTCCATTAATGTCTCAGTTGGATAAGAGTCCACATTTTCCCTAGAGAAAGAGAGAGAGTTTACTCTAAGAACCTAGTGAAGTTGGTGTTCTGATTCTTCTGCTTTTTTTTTTTTTGGTTTTGGAGAGTCCTAGTCTAGCACAAATTTTGACTGCGGATTTTCTCCCAGATCGTCTAGAAAAGACTATATATAGGGAAGTAGTTTTAGTGCCCAGGGCTAGAAAACTCAACTCAAACTACCTTGAACAGGGCAAGTCTCTTGGTTCACTTCAGCAAGGAGCTCAGATCAAGGGTGGGTTCTGCTTACCACAAGGCCGTGCTCCCTGCTCTATGTTTGTGCTGGTCTTTTTGCTCTGCTCTCCTTTTCTGTCAATTTCACCTCTGGACGAGATGTTTCCCTGGCCCAAATGACCACCATTAGCAACCAGGACTGTATGTTTCTCCCCCACCTCCAGGAAAAGTGAATTTTCTGCTTTCTACAACCACCACACAACATTCTGAAATGCAATCTGAAATTAGCCCATTTTGGTCTTTCGGGCAGGATTCAATCAACCCAGCCTGCCTCTATCAAGTGAGCATGTCCAGTCCACCGTGGAATGCTCAGATATCCTTTGCTCCAATAGGCTTTGGGGGTGCAGCTTATTTCCCCCATTTCCCACCTCTACTGTGTTGCACAGGCCCAACTTGCCATTTCCATGTTAGACTTCCTCAGGCATGATTCAGATACCAGCACACGGCATCACCCCAAACTCCTAGAATACACGTGCAGCTCTTCGAGAAGCCCAGCAGTCCCCTTACCCACTGGGAGGTGTCCAAGTATGTTGGCGACTCCCTCAAACAAATCTTCTCGTAGAGAATTTTCTACCCCCACGTGGATGAGGGGTGTGAAGATGTCTACATTTGTAAATTTGTAAATCCTGGATTAGCACCTTGCTTTAGGTTTCGGTGTCTGTTTTGCTATTGCTGAAAGTTTTCATTTTAGCATCCTTTTGCATAAACAAAAACAACCATTCTTTTTTTAAAGATTTTATTTTACTTATTTATCTCTAGAGGGGAAGGGAAGGAGAAAGGGAGAGAAATATCAATGTATGGTTGCCTCTCGTGCATCCCCTGCTGGGAACTGGCCTGCAACCCAGGCATGTGCCCTGACTGGGAATCCAACCTCGATCCTTTGGTTCACAGGCCTGTGCTCAATCCACTGAGCTACACCAGCCAGGGCAAAAATAATAATAATAATAACCATTCTTATTACCCTATGCCTGTAGCTTCTAGGAAGCTTTCTTCCCCTGAAAATAGATACCTTGTACCCTCAGCCACAGCAGCCTATCCTGAGAGCAGATGACGGGAACAGCCTTGGCATTCTTGTTTGTTTGTATGTGTGTTTGTTTCTCAATGCACCCCACTCCGCCAGAGTCCTTGCTGCAGTAGAAAGAAGGAGCATTCACTCAGGGTGTGTTTTTAATGGGCAAATAAACTCTATTTCTGAGACTATTTTTTTTTTTTTTAACCAGCCATTAAAAGGTAAGTTTCCACTTTAGTTTTTTAGATCGAGAACAAGCTTCCTCACATCTATTATTTGCCTACTTACCCAGAGTCACCATCTAGGGGTAATTTTATTTTTAAAACTGTAGTGCTTTTAAAGGCTGGAGCTGATCTCCACTTTATAAAAACTGGCACTGGGGTGGCTCTGAGACTTTAAGTCTGGTGTTGTTTTTTTTTAAGGCTGCATTTTTTACTCATGAATGTTTTGAACCTTTGCAGTTTTATCAACGTACATATTTCAGACCTTTATCCTAACTTATTTTATGAAACTAATGCATCTCTTTATTATCCTGGCTTCTTTGATGTCATTTTGGTGTGAGAGTTTGAATCTGTGGCTCTTTTGTGCCACGCTTTCTTCATGCCACGTGTGTACATATCCACGGAGATCAGCGGGTGTCTGAGACTCTGTAATGTGATGAGGATCTCTGTTTCACTCATTATTTGATCATAGAAACATGCAGAAAAATGAATGGTATTTGTCTGACTATAGTAAGTGTTGCAGTCTCTTTTGTTTACGTACAGTCAGGTCGAACCCTGGTGTCAAGACTGCTGCATCATCAACGTCACTTCCAAAGGTTTTGTGCACTGACCCCCTAGCATCGCCAATGCATGATCAACAATGAGTGTCAGGCTTTGCCTCATACCCCTCCTTGCAGAGTCATAAGAAGTACAACCCTTGGGTATAAATGGAAGGTTGGGGTAAAAGAGATCTAGGGAAGCCCTGGATCTGCTCATTACAGAAGAAGCTTGACCAAGAGGGACTGTATTTTAATTAATGTGGCCAGAGGAAAAGGAGGACAGTGAGGAAATTTCCTGAGCAGAGCAAAGGAGAACCGAGGGAAGCAAGGAGTTGGGGGGATATAACCATGAGCATCTGGCTGGGATCTTGGGGAGACAGGAAGAGGAAGGAGCTGGAGGGATGGTGAGCAGAACGCTGTTTAAGTTGCACTTTCTTTGATATGCCTGTTAGGCCCGTGTGTAGAAAGCCAGGTGCATGAGTGTTAAAGCTCATTGATACATTCAGGTCCAGAGATAAAAATGTGAGAGGTATTAGGAACTGGATGGTGGTCAGAACTCCGAGGCAGGGAGAGATTCCCCCAGGGAGAGTTTCATAAAGAAGAGCTCAAGTCTAAGAGAAAAGTCAGTCAAGGAGAGTCATGGCAACTGATGGGCAGCAGAAAGCTGCCAATCAAGGAGAAGGTGGTATCATGAAAGGCAAGAGGGAAATGTGTTTCCGAGAAGGAAGAAGTAGTGAAATATGTCAAATACTGTTGAGAGGTGATGCTGATGCAGACTGATTTCTCTGTGTTTCTGAGGACACATATCAAATACATGGGTTAGAGGTGCTATTAGTTTTATGTAGAAAGTGCCAAAACCAACTGGCAGGAAATTTAATACTAAGTCTTTTGTTTCCTAATGCAGAAACCCATAACATCAGAACCTCGAGTCTGTCTCGGTGGGAGTTAGGGGGTGATGTAGGAAAAGCCTGTTGGAAACACGAACCACAAAATGCCTTAAATGCTTTTCAATGAACTTGCTTGTATATGAGATGGCACTGAGTATGCTTGCTTGGAGAACTAACAGTAATAGAATGAATAAATGCTGGTAACTTTAAAAAGTTGAAAAATTCCTTTCTAACTCATAGTTGGGAATTTAGCTGACCATCTTCTAAGGCCAGAGAGAAATCAACAGAAAACCGGCATTCAGAAAGGTGAACGAAGGCCCACGGCACCTTATTAGTGAGCCATGTGGCAGCTTCTAGTGCTCTGAGCATTCTATTGCTGTGGTTGCGTCCTTTCCCAAATTCAGAGCGAATTGCCAACAAAGCACTGAGGCTCAAAAATGACACCTTGGATTAACCTAACAAGGCATGACGGGTTATACAAGCATGTGTTGGGTATTTACAGGCTGCTAAAAATGCCTGACTACACCATCTCTGAGGTCAAAATACAAAAGCCCTTCCATCCTAATGGCATCTTCTGTAACCTGTAACTGCTAATGTAGACAAGCAAAATGCACTGTGCTTACAGACTCGGGATGTTTTTGAGCTTGGCAGATAAACTAGTATTTATAGAGAAATTGGACTCTGCCTGCCTATTCAATAAAGGTGCTTTTGGAGCTAATTTCTCTGCTTCCTCCTTGGACTTCATTCTATTTCTTGTTAATACCAAGTCATAAGTGACCAAGGAGAGAAGCAGATTCAGCAGTTTTAGCAATTCTCAACTGGGGGAGATTTTGCCCCTCACGTGGGGGATTTGGTAAATTGGACGGTTTTGTGTATCACCATGATACACAAAAAGGAGCCTCCTTTTTGAACCTCCTCCTCCTTCGGGAGGAGATGCTACCGAAATCTGGTGAGTAGAGGCCAGGGATGCTGCTAACATCTTACCCTGCACTGGACGGTCCCCTACAACAAAGGATTATCCAGCCCCAAATGTCAATAGTGAGGAACTTAAGAAACCCTGAGTCATTCTGCTGGCCCGCAGGCCCTGACTGGGGACCACAGGCAGATGTAAGTGCTAGATACAGAAAGGCAAAGGAAAGAGGAACAGGAAGAGAAAAAGTAACATGGGGAAAAGGCATCTGCAGATATGGTAAGGTAGATTAAGCAAGGAAGCAGTAGCGGTAGAACCAGCCACACTTCAGAGTATTTGTAGACACTCAGAGCTCCCCCATTTGCCCAGCATAGGGCTCCACAGGAAGATGATGTAGCCGGCATGCAGAGGTGTGCTTTCCAGAATGTTATGAGCTAATACTTTGAGATTTCAATGTATGATAGGATTTCATAGTAGGTTCCAAAAGGGATCCATCCAGGTGATTTCTTTAAGAATTAACTTACATAAAACTAACACCAGAATGGTTGGAGTATTTCAAAATAGATATAACACTTTTGAAAAGAATTTTCATCCTTTCACAATCTCTTCTTCTTCCATAAGAAGAAACTCTTGGTCAGGTCTGAGTCTATATCCATTCACTTGTCCTTTGACCCCCTTTTTATTTATTTATTGTTTTCTACCTCTTACCTGAGCTTCCTCTGGGGGACAGGTTTGTGTTGTACTTCACCAGAGTTCTGTCTAGTCCTAGGCAAACAGTATTTGCCCGCAAACATTTGACTTATTTATCTTCTGGTTGCACTGACTGTCCTTACTCATCTATCTCCATTCTTTGAAATTTGTTGCTCCTTAATTTGTTTTCTGGGTTTTTATAAGTGTCTTTCAATGGATGGGTTGAAACAAGTTAAAGGAGTCATTCTGGGAATTAATTTATTTTGTCTTAGAGAAGAACAGGATTTAGCTAGGAACTATGTAGAATGTTCCTTTGGGCTAGATCAAAGCTGTCAGAAATGGATTGAAGAAGAAGTTAAAATAAGTCTTGCCTGGGGCCAGGCCTGTTTGCCAGCGATGGTAG